TCAACATAGTAGCACCTATATAAATAAACCAAATATTGACTGATATAAAGGGAGAGAACAGCAGTATTAGTCATAGTAGGGGACTTTAACACCCCATTGACACCAATGGACATATCTTCCAGACAGAAAATCAAGAAGGAACAGTGACCTTAAATGACACACCAGTCCCAATGGACTTAATTGATATTTTTAGAGCATTTCACTCCAAAAGCATATTATACATTCTTCCCAAGGGCACATGGAACATTTTCCAGGAGAGACCACATGTTAGGCTACAAAACAAGTCTCAGTAAATTTAAGAAGAATGAAATCATAACCAGCATCTTCTCTGATCATAATAGTGTGAAACTAGAAATCAATTACAAGAAGACTGAAAATCACAAACATATGGAGTCTAAATAATGTGCTACTAAACTGGGTTGACAGTGAGATCAATAAAGAAATCAAAAGATACCTTCAGACAAATGAAAATGAAAACACAACAACCCCAAAATCTGTGGAACACAGCCAAAGCAATTCTAAGTGAGGACATGTATAGCAATACAGGCCTATCTCAAGAGAAAAAAAAAATCTTAAATAAATAATCTAACCTTACACCTAAAGGAACCAGAAAACGAAGAACAAAGCCCAATGTGAGTAGAAAGAAACAATAAAGATCAGAGTAGAAATAAATGAATTAGAGTCTAAAAACAATACAAAAGATCAATGAAACCAAGGGATGGTTCTTTGAAAAGATAAAATTGATAAACCTTTAACCGGACTCACCAAGAAAAAAAAAGAGGGCCCAAAGAAAATCAGAAATGAAAGGGAAGTGAAAACTGACACCACAGAAATACAAAGGATTATAAGAAAATACTTCAAACAATTATATACCAACAAGTTGGACAATCTGGAAGAAACAGATAAATTCCTAGAAACATACAATCTTCCAAGATCAGATAAGAAAGAAACAGAAAATCTGAAGACCAATAACTACTAACGAAATTAAATCAGTAAAAAACAAAACAAAACAAAACAAAACAAAAAACCTTCCAAAAACGAGATGGCTTCACAGCAAATTTTGCCAAACATTCAAAGAATTAATACCTATCCTCAAACTATTTCAAATAGTTGAAGAGGAGGGAAAGTTCCCAAACTCATGTTACAAAGACACTACAAAATAAGAAAATTATAAGTCTATATCTCTAATAAGCACAGGTGCAAAAATTCTCAAAATATTAGCAAACTGAATTCAGCAATACATTAAAATGATCATATACCATGATCAAGTGGGATTTATTCCCAGATGCAAGACTAGTTCAGTATCCATAAATCAATTGTGATTCACCACATAAACAAAATAAAGGATAAAAATCGTATAATCATAATCATTATAAGCAGAAAACATTTCACAAAAATCAAATATCCACTTATGATAAAAACTCTCATCAAAGTAGGATAAAGGGAACATACCTCAACATAATAAAGGACCCATAGCTGACACCACAGTCAAAGGTGAAAAGCTAAATACTTTTTAAGATCAGGAACAAGGCAAGAATGTCCCCTTTCGCCATTTTTATTTAACATGGTATTGGGAGTCCTAGCCACAGCAGTCAGACAAGAAAAAGAAATAAAAGCCATCCGAATTGGAAAGGAAGAAGTAAAACTGTCATTATTTGCATGATACTATATACAGAGGACCGTAAAGAATCCACCAAAAAAAACTATTAGAACTAATAAATGAATTCAGTAAAGTAGCAGGATACAAAATTAATAATCAGATATTGGTTGCATTTTCATATGTCAATAACAAACTATAAGAAAAAGAAATTAAGAAAATAATCCCATTTACAATTGCTTCAAAAAGAATAAAATACCCAGGAATAAATTTAACCAAAGAAGTAAAAGACGTATACTAGAAAACTATAATATACTGAAGAAATAAATTACAGGTACAAAAAAAAAAGAAAGCATACATTGTGCTCATGGATAAGAAGAATTAACATTGTTCAACTGTCCATACTTCTCAAAGCCATCTATAGATTCAATTCAATCCTTATGAAAATACCAATGGCATTTTTCAAAGAATAAGAACAAATAATCCTAAAATTTACATGGAACCACAAAAGACCCTGCATAGCCAAAGCCATCTTGAAGAGGACGACAAAGTTGGAGGTATCACACTACCTGATATCAAACTATACTACAGGGCTATAATCATCAAAACAGCATGATACGGGCACAAAAACAGATACATAGATCAGTGGAACAGTATAGAGAACCCAAAAATAAACCCGCACCTATATAGTCAATTAATCGATGACAAAGAAGGCAAGAATATACAACGGGTAAAGGCAATCTCAACAAGCAGGGTTAGGAAAACTGGACAGACACATGCAAAAGAATGAAACTGGATTACTTTCTTACACCATATACAAGAATAAACTCAAAACAAATTAAAGACTTAAATGTCAGACCTGAAACCGTAAAACTCAGAAGAAAACATAGGCAGTAAACATTCTGACACTGTTCTTAGTAATATTTTTTCTAATATATCTCCTCAGGTAAAGGAAACAAAAGAAAAAATAAGTAAATGTCACTACATCAGACTAAAAAGGTTTTGCACAGTGAAGGAAACCATCAACAAAGAGAAAGACAACCTACTGACTGGGAGAAGATATCCACCAATGATTTATCTAATAAGCAGTTAATATCCAAAACACTTAAGGAACTCAAACACCACCAAAAAACAAAACAAAACAAAAAACAAAACACCCAAACGATCCAATTATAAAATGGGCAGAGGACCTGAATAGGCATTTCTCTGAAGAGGACATACAGATAGACACATGAAAAGATGCTCACCATCACTAATCATCGGGGAAATGCAAATGAAAACCACAATATCACCTCGCACCTGTAAGAATGGCTGTCATCAATAAATCGATAAGTGTTGGCGAGGATGTGGAGAAAAGGGAACCCTTGTGCACTGTTGGTGGGATTGTAAATTGATGCAGCCGCTATGGAAAACAAAATGAAGTCCTCAAAAAATTAAAAATAGTACTACCACATGTCCCAGCAACTCCACTTCTAGTTATTTACCCAAAGAAATCCAAAACACTAATTCGAAAAGATATATGCAGCATTATTATGTTGACTGCAACATTATTTACAATAACCAAGATATGGAAGCCACCTAAGTGTCCACCAATAGATGAATGGGTAACGAAGACGTGGTACATGTATACACAGGATAACTACTCAGCGCTAAAGAGAAAGGAGCTATGAAGCCATGATAAGGCATGAAAGAACCTTAAATGCATGTTACTAAATGAAAGAAGCCAACACAAAAAGGCTACATACTGTTTAATTGCAACTATATGACATTCTGGAAAGGGCAAAACTACGGAGACAGTAAAAAGATCAGTGATTAAGAGGGATCAGGGGGAGGGAGGGATAAATAAGCAGAGCACAGAAGCTTTTTAGGGCAATGAATCGATTCCGTATGATACTATAATAGCGGATACACGACATTATACATTTGTCCAAACCCACAGAATGTACAACGCCAAGAATGAACTGTAGCGTGATCTGCAGACTTTGGGTGACGACGATGTGTCAGTGCAGGTTCACGGACTGTAATGCACGTATCCCTGCAGAGGATGCTGACAGCTGGGAAGATTATGTGCATGGGAACAGGGGACATGCAGAAACTATACTTTCCTCTCGATGTTGCTGTGTCACCTAAAACTGCTCAAAAAAGAAAAGTCTATTTAAAAGCATTAAAAAAGAAAAAGAATGAAGGCAAATGAAAGACATTTGCAGATAAACTCAAACTGGCAGAATTCATCGTCGGCAGGCGTGAACCCTCCTACGGGAAGTTCTCCAAGCTGAAGGGGAATGATACCAGACAGGGACCCGACGGCCAGGAGGGAATGAACCGGAAACAGCGCTTACCAGTGTAAAGATAAAAAGCTGTCTTCTTACCCTCTTAATTTCTTTAAAATACATGTGGCTTTTTTTAAAGTGAAAATGATAACAGTGAAATCCATAGCATTTATAGGCGTAATAATAGCCATGGGAACTCCCGCATACAGTTTAAGGAAGGTACGTGAAATAGGTTGCAAGGTCACTGCATTTTACGTGAAGCAGTACAATATTAACTAAAAGACTGGAAAGTTCAGCAAAATAATGTGAGCCCTAAAAAACAACACACACACACACACACACTAAAAGCCAGTGCAAGGAATCGTGGGGCATTGCAATGGCTCCCTACTTACGGGAGACGTGAAGCAGTACAATATTAACTAAAAGACTGGAAAGTTCAGCAAAATAATTTGAGCCCTAAAAAACAACACACACACACACACACACTAAAAGCCAGTGCAAGGAATCATGGGGCATTGCAATGGCTCCCTATCTTACGGGAGTGTGAGCTACATGAATGCATGCATTTTCGAAACTGCTGGAACTGTGCACTTAAGATCTATGCATGTCACTGGATGTTAATTTATATCTAAATTTTTAAAAGTGTTTTCTTAAAAAAAAAAAAAAGAGAGCTGGTTTAGAGCCATTATTCAATAAATGTTAGTTACTACTGCTAATATTGTGCTAAACAATAGGATATCAGTTTACAGAAATGCTGTTCTTCGAACACACTTCTTTCCTTACCTCGCAGCCTGATTTATACAATAAATCTGCCTGGAATGGTCTCACCTCACACTTCCTCTGGACAGTTCCTATGTACCTCTCGTTCTTAGCCTACACGGCATTCTTTTGAAAAGCTTTGCTTAACATCCTCCCACCAGTGGTCACACTAAGACGTCCTGTCACACATACCAGGGCACCCTGGACTTGGCAGCACTCACCGCTGTCCTTCGCTTGTGCTTATTCACTTATCGTCCATTCCCTAGGAGACTGGGAGGCCCACAAGGGCGCTGGCTTGGTTTCGCTCACTGCTGAATTCTCTACACTCAACGCGGGAGGAGAGGCCCGAGAGCCGCTTCCTCCCCCCAGCATACCGTTTCGCTCTTTCCAGGTCGTCATTGGCTTGCTCCAGCTCACGGATGTACTTCTGCAGCTGGTCCTTGATGGCTTTGGTCTGGGCGAGGTCGCCCTCCAAGGCAGAGATCTGACGGTAGCCTTCAGAATGCTGTGTCTCAAACTTCTCCTGAAGGACAAAATTCACATTGAGTGTACGATTTAAGACTTCTGACATACTGGGTGTATCTCCCCTTCCCTGCCACCTCCATAAAACACCGAGGGTTAGTCTGGAAGTATGGTCTCTTGTTGTAGTGGACACTATGTTTTTAGCCACCAAGTGTCCATCTCGCCCGCTCCCCACAGCCCGCCAGTGCCCTGATGTCCTTAGGGGGTTTATCTCCGTTACTACAGGGTCTTCATGGGACCAGTCCTCCCATCACACTTGCTGAGGCAGCTTCAGGCTCCTCCCCCAGCCTCCTGCCACAGCCAGGGACAAGCCTAAGCTCAGTTCACAGAACCTCTCTCCAGACATGGACTATTAAGCAAATGACAGAAGAGGGCAGGAACAGGGAGCTGTCATGTCCTGAGTGCCTGCTGCCTCCCAGCCCTGAGCACCTTGTACCTCGCCCCATCCCAAATCTGGTCCTTGCAGCCTCTGGGTGTTGAAAAGGCCCAACTATCTCCAAAGCAATCATTTTGCTCAAAGCGTCCATAGCCAGAGAAAGCCACATAAACCTCTTCAAGCCTCGTCCACGATGGCAATGAGTTCATGTCACATGACATCCCTGGATTCCAAAGGAAACATCAGGAATCACAATGACTTTGCTTGAGTGTGCCTCACAGGAAGAGCAGGACATCATGTACTTAGTTTGACAACTGCACTGACTTTGTGATCCAGGGCACTCCCCCGACAGCGAGGGGGAGTTTGGACCTCTAGGGGAGGGAGGAAAGGAACAGAGAGAGAAAAAAAAACCTGCTGTGAATTACGAAAGGAAGTTTAGTGTGATCTGGCTACTGCTTTCCAAGACAAGGAATAGCCCGGGTGACTTCTCAGTGATCTGCTGTCACCCAATTGTGCCAGCTAACATTTACTGTGCTTCTGTGCCAGCCTCTGGGCTTGGTACACTACTTACATTGCCTCATCTCATGCCATTTCGAAGATGTGGAGACTGAGGCTCAGTGACTTAAATAGCTCAAAGTCAACTGGTAGTAAATGACTGAGCCAAGATCCAATCAAGGCCACATAGACGTTGATCGCAGACAGACAGATACAGAGAAAGAGACACAGACACACACAGACACACACACACACACACACACAAATTCTGTTCCGGCTCCTCTTTCAAATTACTTTCCTTCACCAAACACCCTTCCTACTTTTCCTTCACCTACACACATGAAAGAAAACATTTCCCATAGGAAAGGCCCAAGGTCTAATTAGAAAGTTAAAAAACAAACTCTTTCCTTTTCTTTACTCAGTCGAGTAAACAAAGCTCTTGCCAGAAACGGTCTGGATGCACTGGGAAGAGTGATGTAATGGTGCCTCGGCCAGAGAGGCGTGGGGAACGCCCAGGTTTAGGGCAAGGACAGGGAGGACACTCCACATACTCAAGCTGCTCAGTCCCGATATTCTGCTTCCTGGCTGTCAGCAAAGGAAGCGTCTTCCCTGGGCGAGGGGCACACCAGGCTCCAGGCACACTCAGTGGGATGCCCAGAGTGGCTCTGATGGCCTCACACCCTGTAGGTGGGGGGCACCTCCAGATCAAACAGGAGAGTGCAGGGTCCCAGGTCATTAACCTAACTTCAAATGCAGGTTCTAAGAGGATGTAGTTAACAGGCTTCTCCACCAGCATCACAATTCAAAGGTCATCCTTTGAACGCATGGACATGAAAAGCTGTTGCTGAAATGTTGAGCTTTCTATTTGGGGCTAATTATAATAAGCTGTCAGCTGATGGGACATCAATAGACGCTCTGTTTGATCTCTTACAGGCTTTTTTATTCAACTTGTGATGAATAAGCCAGTTGTCAAGAAGCCTGAGTCAGATGAATGCATTTCTCTTAGGTGACAAACATGGGCTGGTAGCACTGCTTTATTCTAAGGTCTTTGTTTCTCCCCCTGCTCTGTGCTCTGGGTCTCACGGGTCTGTCGTGTGGCTGTAGTGAAGTCTTCTGCAGGTTCAACGGCTCGGTCTTGAAGAAGTTGATCACTTAGCAGTTGCTTGATATTTATTTTTTCCCTCTCCAAACTATGGTCCATACCCCTGGTGTCCCTTCCACACAGCCTTCCACCCAGAGTTTAAGACTACAAGGATGGTGTTTGACCCCTGCCATTAGCACCGAGGAACTAATGCCTGCAGGGGTCAGGCTGTGAAGTAGGCCAAGTTTAGTGATAAAGCAAATGGCACTTATCCCTAAGTGTCAAAGATGGGTAGACAGCTGTGAGGAACCACTACTTGGCTTTCTGCTGGTTAGAAGGATGCAGGTCTGGTGTGGCCAGACCTGCCAGTTCATAAAGCAAGTCAGAAATCTAGACTTTTACTGCCTCAGAACTTTGAATGCTGATCGAAAACATTTTAAAAACACTAAAGATTTGTTTTACTATCAAAAGAATAAACTATAAATAAACTCTAATTACTAAGACAATGCTGAAATATTTACAGAGATGCAATTCACTTTGAAATGCATCAAAACATAAGACAGATGAACAGGTGTGTAATAAAAAGCAACTGTGGCAAAGGTTATTGGTAGAGCCTGGGTGGCGGACATGCAGGTGATCACTGGAAAATTCTTTCAACCTTGCTGTGTGCTTGAAAACGTTCATGATAAAGTACTGAATGAAAACCACTAAAGGCTGAGCAGACAGCGCCTATGAGCCAGATTGCAAATGGCCGCTTTGGGCTCTGTGGTCCACAACATAAAAGTCTAAAGTCCATGGCTCAGCGTCCAAGGTCTTTGGGGCCTTTCCTTTGCCTCTCTCCATCCTCAATCCCCAATCCGTTTGTCAGCCCCACTTTTTGCCATGTACAGTAAAGCCAGGGCTCCTGGGATCCATTCGACACTCATCCTTGTCTGTGTCTGGGGCAGGTCAGCCCCTGCGCACCAAGCTGCTGGATGGACAGACGGACAGGGACGGACACACGGACAGGGACGGACACACACACTCACCCCACACCTTCGGACACCAGTTCAAGTCCCTCCTAGTGCCTCCCAGGAACTGTCTCGAACCCGTGCAGATTCTCCTCTCTCGGGAGGAGGATGCGGTCAGTACTATGTAGCGACATCTTTTCCCTAAGTGCTTCCTGGTTTGAGGTTTGTCCTCCCCACGAAGCTTCCAGAGGACGAAGCTCTCATCTCCTTCCATCACACCTCGCCCTGGGCCACACCGCAGGGCCTGGCTCTTTCCCCCAACGGCTCTCATGAGGAGATTTAAAAAAATAAAAAAGATATGCAGACATGCCGGGCGCCACCCAGACTTACTGAGCCGGGGTGGTTCAGGCCCGTCTGATGTTCATGAAGCTGGCCAGGTGGTCCCGGCAGAGAGGGCTGACAGCCATGGTCCCAAAGGCACACTGTTACACTGAATCACCTGCTAAGCCCTATAGGACGTCCAAAGGCAGTCCTTACCCTTGAGAGCAGAGGCTTTCCGGACACTTGGCAAGGTCTGGAGATATTCGTGACTGTCACAATCTGGGGAAGGAGGAGCTATTGGCATCTAGTGGGTGGAGGACAGGGATACTGTTAAGCATCCTCAGTGCAAAACTCAGTCCCCACAACAGTTATCTGGCCTCAAATGTCAACAATGCGCCGGCTGAGGAGCCTGTCCGAGACTGGCAGTGTCCACTGGAACTTTCTGTAACGGTGGGAACGTTCTACGGCCTCACTGTCCCTGCGAGGCCCCTGCAGACATACGGCACCCAAGTCCTTGAAATGTGGCTAGTATGACTGAGGAGCTGGATTTAGTTATTTTATTTTAATTAATCTCAATGTCAAGAGCCACTTGTGGCTAGGGGGCTACCATACCAGACAGTATAACCCTGGACCTTATAACAATCAGCAATTCCAATGACACTTCATACACTAAAATTGTCTACTTTTCACATGCTTTATGAGACTACAGACGAGCCATGAATGGCCTTGGGGACACATGTGTGACTTGCTTCTCCCAGAGCTCCCATCAGGGCAAGAGTTCAACGACCACATCTACCCAGAAGGCCCAGAGGTGGGAGTGAGCCCAGGGCTGTGGGCCCTTGCTCTGTAGGGCTCCGTTCCCAGGCATGCACGCCACGCTGGTACCTGTCTCTGCCCGTGTGCATCTCCTCTCACCCGCCTCACCTTGATGGTTTCTAGCTCCATGCGAAGGCGGTTATTTTCTGACAGGAGGTCCCTGTTCCTGGTCTCAATTTGTTGCAGCTGCGTCTCCAATTCAGCTTCATATTCTCGGCTTCCCTCCTGGAATTCTCGGAGCTCCTCTTGTGTATTCTCTGCCCTGCAGAAGTCCCAGATGTCAGAAAATAATTCACTGAGCACACACATGCTTCTGAGTGTTATACGTGGACTAGCTCTTTATTCAACTGCCTTCAAGGCAGAAACTATCATTGTCCTCATTTTACAGATGAGAAGATGAGGTTTAGACAGGATGACTGACTTGTCTCGAGGTCGCATGAGAAGTCAGAAACAGAGCTTGGACCCGTTTATTCATTCGCCATGTATTTTTTGAGCCCAATGTATAGTAACTATACTTTGGATTGTGTATCCTCTGCAAATTTATCTCTAAGTAGAAATTGGATATAATATAAATGTGCACTTATCACACCACTATGTCCATCAAGAAGACAAAAATCATGAATTCAAAAGAAATACACAACTTTAACATAAATAATGAAGATATCAAAACTGTTAAAGATTTTGTTTACCTTGGTGTAGTCATCAGTTCAAATGGAGGCTGCAGCCAAGAAGTCAAGAGAAGAGCAGCAGTGGAAGAATCAGGAAAGATCATCAAGAACAGATGTGTCATTAGAGACCAAGGCTAAGGTCACCCACACCCTCGTAGTCCCGGTCACTGTGCATAGATGCGAAAGCGGAGCAGTGAAGAAGGCTGATGGGAAAAACCTGGGTTCATTTGCAATATGCGGTATCTATGGATACCATGGACCCCGAGAAAGATGAACAAGTGGGTCCTAGAGCAAGTGAAGCCTGAAACGTCACTGGGGGCGAAAATGACACAACGGAAGCTGTCCTACTTCGGGCACTTGATGAGAAGGCAGGGTTCTTCGGAAAAGACAATGCTGGGGCGGGGGAGAAGGCAGTAGAAAAAGAGGAAGACCAAATATGAGATGGATTGACTCCCTAAAAGAAACCTCAGGAGCTGAGCAGGGCTGCTGGGGACGGGACACTCATTCATAGGGTCACCAGGAGTCAGAGCCAACTCTACAGCATGTAAATCACACACATATTATGTGTCTCTACGCCATCTCAAACACCCAGTTCTAGCTTCTCAATCCTTAAAATGCAAGGGACTTTTTTTTTTTTTATATAATATCGGCATGAGTTATCTTGAAGTCACACTAAGAATAAAGAAGATAGAGGGACTGGAATAAGACCTCCACGTGGAGATAGTAAGAGACCACGAGGAACACACAAACAGACACACTCCAGATAGGGACACTGAAACGCTGGTTTCAGATTTTAAAATCTGCAACAACGCATCTTGCTAAGCACAGAGAAAAGTTCCCTCCCCACATACGAAGCACTGACCAGATGTGGCATCTGCGAACTAACAAAACCCTGCCAGAAAATAAGACGGGAAGTGGCAGTATGCTCAGGATCATCGCCTTTGGAGTTCAAATTCCAGCTCTGCTACTTACTGCTTGTGTGACCTTAGTGGGCAAATTACTTGCTTCACTGAGGCTTAGTTTCCTCACTTGTAAAATGGGTAATAATGGTTTCTTCAGAAATAATATACAGTTAAGCCTTCACAGTGCTTGTCACATAATACGCCCACAACAAATGACTACCGCCATCATTACAGGAACAAAAAAAGCAGGGTGAACTTTGGAGAACTGACTTTTGCTTGTAGGTCATAGCCAGATCTTTCCAATAGTTAGCTTCTTCCTCCTCAGAGCTGAATGTCTTTCCCGAGTCCTCCATCGTGAAAACAGGGACGAGGTCACTCTTCCTGTGGCATGGTGTCTAGGAGAGAAGTTTTAAAATTATTATTCACATCCGTTAAATAGCTGATCTGTAATGGGAAAAAAAATCCCGAACTTTGTTGGATTAAATAAAACATTCCAAAAAACTAAAACTACACCAGACAAAATACAGCTCACCTGCACGTTACATTCCACAGAGAGATAAAACTACCAGGACTTGTTGATTACATTGGGTGGGGGGACAGGGTAGAGAAAAAATGGAGGTGAGGCCATCTCTTGAGGTTCCAGCTTAGACAACTGGGTGCCACCACCATTCCCATTACCAGAGATGGAGAACATCGAAAGTCTTTAGGGTAAAGGGATAATGAACCCAGCTTGGGACATTTTTTAGTTTGACATGCCTGTGATAGACACATCTAGACGTGACACTGAATCTGAAATTCAGGGGTGAAGTCTGGGCTGATACAAAATTAAGAGCCACGAGTTTGTAGCTGGTTCTTCCCTTTTTCTTGTGATCGACCCACTGGACAATGAGGACAATTTACGGAACTCTGAGACATGCCAGTGTCTGAAAGGTGGGCAGTAATCAAAGGAGACGGAAGAGAAACAAAGAGAGACGGAGGAGAAATAAAGGAAGAGAGAGAGAGAGGAGAGCCAGGAAGCATGAGCTGCCCTGGAAGCCCATGGTTTCAAGGGTAGAAAAGGGGACATTACGCAGTATCCATGATGCAACAGAGAAGCTGAGAAGATAGACTGAAAAATATCCACGAGATTTAGCGAAATGTCGGTCACTGGTGATGAGCAAGAACAGTTTCATCACAGTGGAGGAGTAAGTGGGAGGTGAGGAAGCCCAGGGGATTTTGGAGAACTGGGTGTTAGAAGAAGGCGAATAAGGCAGTAGCTAAAGGGGAGTGGGGGGTAAGGGCCTCGGCTCTGAGGACTGAGATGCCCAGGGCAGAGGTCAGAGAACGCACTTTATCAACAGTTGTCAGTTTATAGACTCCCTGCTGATTGAGTCTCTCAATGTAATAGCTTATTTTCTGAATTTAAGGCTCTGAACTTGTCAAAAGTCATTAGGAATCCAAATGAGATGGCTCCAAGGTCCCTTCCTTCCTTCAAAGGAGCTCACAGTCTGCTGTGTGTCCTTGGAGACAAAAGAATGAACGCCACCCATCACTCTACAAGGCATAACCAACAAGCTGTATTTTAGGCTAAAAATACAAATCATTCGGCTAAATATGTTGGTGTCAATATGGACACAACCACCAACTTCTGGATCCCCAGTAGAAATTGAACGATTATACCTGTATTCGAATGTAGCGCTCACTGATGCCTCTACATTTGTTAATACCTGTATGCACATCTTCTCTGCCTCCTAGCTTCTTTCCCTTTCCTAACTCAGAGAAAACATGCCGTGTTCCCTTTCATCTACCCACTACCAGGGAACGGTGTCTCTGAAAGCTTGATCTAAGCAAAGAAGCTGGACGGAGTAGAAATCTGTTAACATGTTCGTTATTTCCAGTCCGGCACTCCTTCCATCCTTCTGTAACAACACCCCAATAGTCTCTTGAGGCGGCTGGCCCTACATTCATTCCATGTGGTTCAGAGGGACTTGGCATCATCTTCTGCATCTGGGAGAAGGCACGTGACTACTCATGCCTCCAGCATCAGTCACTGGCTCAGGGGTGGGCCTAACCCACACTGAGCCAATGACAGGGGTGGACTTAACCCAAGCTGAGCCAACAAGTGTTCAGGCCCAAGCCTTTTACAGAATTATCAAGAAAAAAACTCTCCTTATTGTGGTGATTATTTCACAATAGTCACATGCATCAAACCATCCCGTAGTACCACCTTAAACTTACACAATGTTATATGTCCGTTATAACTCCATAAAGCTGGAGAGAAGGGGAAAGAAAGGAATGCTCTCTTTCCACTAGGGTCCATAAGATGGTAGGAGGTTAAGTCCGGAGCTGCCAGGAGTCATTTTTGTATCACAAGAGAGGAGACTGCCTGAGAAGGAAGCCAAAACAGGACAGCAGGACCAAGAGGTCCTGCGACTACTGACAACACCTGGATCCAGTTGCACCTGGTTTACAGTTATGAGAGAATCAATTCCCTTTCTTGATTGTACCTGTTAGGGCTGAGTTTCTATAGAGTGATCTTGTTTGCTGAAAGTAAAAAGGATAGAGCAAAATAATAATAATTAACATGGCAACAGGAAAGGGGAAATCTGGGTGTGGTCCTCCCTGTTCAAGCCACAAACTCCAATGAGCCCAGATCTCATCTCATGCTGTCACCAAACCAACATCTATAGTGGCAAGAGCCCAGAGCCCATGCAACTGTAACTGAGTCCTGTGTGACCATCAGATCTCATATTGAGGACCGTCCCAACTGCCTGGCATGAGAGAAAGTCTGCACATAGCACAGTGAGGAACTAGGAACAAGTGTACACTGACTTTTTCTATCATTTGGAAAAAGATCATGTTCAAGGATCAAAGCAATTAGTCCCTGCCTACTTCTTTAGATATCTCCTACCCCCCTACCCACTTGCCCGCTCATGGTCTGGCCGCACTGCCTTTTCTGTTCCTTGAACACACCAAGTTTGCCCCACCTCACGGCCTTTGCACTTGCTGTTCTTGCTGCCTGGAATGCTTTGCCCTCAGAGCTCTCAGCAGGTTGCCTTCTTGCCATCTCAGCTGAATCCTTTCCCAGAGAGACCTTATTTGAATATCCAACCAAACACTCCCTCCCAGGCCTGCTTTATTTCGGCACTCTATGAGTATTGTGTTTACCTTCCCTCACTAGAATGTCAATTACTGAGCATAGGAACCGTCTCCAACTTTTATACCCCCCCACCCCGTGCCTAGAACAGTGCCTGGCATTTAACAGACACTCAGTAAATGCCAGTGGAATGAATGCACAGAGGGGAAGACAGATTGGCCGGCCACTAGCTGAAAGGGGGGTGTGAGGTTAAGGAAAGGCAAGAAGCAGGAGACCCTCAGAAGGCTGGGTTATAACTTACATCTGTAAATCCCTAAGACTCTATCAGGGTGGGGAACACATCTCTCCCTCAGCACCTGAGTGGCACCTCCTTACGGGGAGGACTGGAGGTCAGGCCACCATGTTGGAAAGTACTCCCATCCCAGGTTTACATGATAAGGAGTATCTGATACAGTTACTGGAGTTTAATAATCATCCCTTGCACTCTTATGAGACACGTTTTAGAAAAGGGTTTCTTAAAACACTGTTACCATGGCCAGTGAGGCTTGAAACTTAATCCGCAGGAAAGGAATGAATTTAAGATGTTTTAGGAGGCACTGCCATTGCGGGAGAGGCTCTAATTACAACCACACTGATGGAAGGATCTGGTTTTGGACTTCAGAGACTGGAGAAAAATTAAGCAGGGACCGGAGCTTCTGTCACTGCCTGCACAATCTCTGCCTCCTTCAACTAAAGGGCAAAAACCACAGGCCTGGTATTTCAACCAAAACTCCCTGCATTTTAAAAACAATCCTCAGGAAGAGGAAAAAATATACTACAGGCTAAAAGGGAAGAAGGAACAGCTGATCCTCACTATGTTATCAAACAGCAATCTTAAAATATAAGTCCTCTGCAATGTGAAAATGTCTCAAAGTTCTAATGTGCATTGTTCTCTGCCACAGAAAGCAAGTAAGATTACTTGCAAAGGTTCCCTTCTTCCAGTATTATCTACTGAATTTTATCATCACCTTTTCTTATCGTCACATTTGCTGCATGCCAGGTATTTAATAAGTTATTTTCAAACAACTTTATCCCCTTGAAGCCATTCAACTGTTAAGAGTAAGCAAGACAATCACTTAGTTTCTTAGAAGCAGAAGCTGGAACAGAAACATATGCCTTGGCCATCTCCATAAGGTTCAAGTGAGCAGCAGAGTTAAACCAGACCTAAGTACAAGGGTTGGGGAGGGCTAGTCTTTAAATTCAAGTTCAAGGTCGCCCTGAGGTTATAAACAACTGAGCAGAGATCAAATTCACTTTTTTTCATTTGGCCCACACAGTCATCATGCCAGCATTGCGGGCGAATCTAATGGACACCTCAACTACATATGCTACAGCATGCAAAAAAGAACAAACTGAGACCAAGTGGTTTGAAAAATATCTATCTTTTATTTTGCATAACTTAGATCTACTACTCTTACAAAAAGTGTTTCACTGAGTCTCTTTTTTCTTTTTCTTTTTGGTGTGTCTTCTGTGATCAAATTTAATAGAAAAGTCTGAAAACACACAACTTTGATTTCAAAACTAGAGAAAAAAACCAAAGCAATCTGTCTTGGCTTCCCTCTGAGTGAAGAAAGCCCCTCAGAGGGAAGGAGCAATCCACACCTGTAACCCATCAGGAATTAACTTCTCCACCCCAACCCCAATCCCTGCCAATCAAAACAAATGAAGAGCTGAAGAGAAAGGGAGGTAGAGGAAGAAGTTGCCAAATGCCAGCATGTGCTCCGACAGCTTCTATGCCATGGCACAGACTTTGCATTTTGCAGAAGTGACATCACTGCGGCAAAAATCAGTCAAGAATCAGCAAGTCTGGCTTCTCTCTTTGCGTTTTCAAAGTCTGTAATGATCTACCTACAAAAATACTTAGGCATGCAGGGACAAATGTTCAAGGGTGTACACCATCATTCACTAATGTACAAATTGGAGAAACTGTCAACAGAGGACTGATTGGAAAACTATGCAGTTGTTAAGAACTGTATGTACTAGCATAGGAGAAAGTTCACTACATGTAAAACATGCCATTTTTGTCTAGAAATGTATCTCCCTCTCTTTGCATATAAAGGGTCTGGAAGGATGTGCCAGAATGTGAGTAAAGCAGGCAGTGAGATGAGGACTTGAACCTGACACACTACTATATACACTGATTTTTACAGTAAGCGTATATTGCTTTTGAAATTTTAAAAGGCTTAACCTCTGACCAAAAAAAAAGAGAGTAGCTACTGTTACAGGATTTTATTCTACTGAACCAAGATGTCAGGGACAGAGGTTTTTGCCTCCTGTGGTTCCCCTCTCTTCCATCCATTTTCAAACATTTCTGAACACCTACTAAGTGCCAGGCACAGCTGAGACAGGCAGATAAAAAACAGCTGCATCTGTACTAGGTGCAAACACAATTCTAGCAGCTGATACCAATTTTATGTACCAAGGTGTAATTACATTAAAAAATTATCTTGTAAGGAAAGAGCGTAATTTCTCTGGGTTCACATTCTCAGGCAAAAGAACACCCTGAAACAAAAAACAACATCTGAACAGAATAAGCCAAGTTAAAAAACTATTATCCAAAATGGGATAAAATAAACCAACCAGAGGCCCCTGAGACTTCAAAGGCATAGATCATCTGGATCTAATCCTACCCAAAAGATACACACTAAGAGTTAAAATTTAAGTTTCAAAACTAATTGAGTATCAGTGTGTATTTATGTCAGGGTAGGGGGTCCAGGTAACAAGTGGCCCTGAGAGTCACTGGGATTCATCCTTCAAAGCAACCTATCCACGTCCTAAAACGCCATCCTATCCTAGAATACACAAACAAAACTAGCACAGAAAACGACAAATCTGCCCAGCAGAGGAGGCAAAGGCCAATTCTTTAGAAAGTTAGTTAAAAGGGCCCTCGAGCTAAAAGTAGAAAAGGCACAACCTGTACAAACCCTGGACAAAGAAAAAAGGGAAGTACTCAGACCTTCATGAGGCAGAGAACCTGAGATGACTGGAGAAGATAATGCTGCCCCCCGCCAAAAAAAAAAAAAAAAAGCGTGTCAAGAGGGTGGTGGGGGTTTCCCATGACCTCAGAGAAGCAGGTACGCCCAGCCACTGCATTCAAGCTGTAAAATAAGCGCTTTTATCCTTTATCCAATCCGTCCCCAAAGTACCGCCAGGGGAAATCTGAACCGTCCTGCAGCAGAGATCTGAGGAAAGCGGAGGGAAGGAGACAGTTCCAAACACGTTCCCAAAGGGAGGGAGGTGCTCGTAGCAAGGAGGTTTGGGGAAAGAGGCCTGCACTGAGGGTGGAAGCAGGGAATGGAAGTGGGCGAGAAGAAGGGCTACGAGGAATGAGGGGGCGATGGGGGCATGAGGAAAGGAGGTGGCGGGGATCGAGAAAGGGCAGAAAACAGGGCGAGAAAAGGGACTGGGGCGTCAAGGAGGGGAGTCTGGGGTGGGAAGGAACAGGAAGGCAGAGGAGCTGGGCAGCGGGGACAGGGGACGAGGAAGACAGAAGGACCGAGGAAGTCAAGGAGGGTGGGGAGGGCAGCAAGAGAAAGAAAGTTGGCAAGGGCGAGAAGCCGGACGCGGGGGGCACAAGGGTGGGAAGGCACAAAGTTAGGAAGGGAGGCTCCAGGGAAGCGGGATTTTCGAGCCCAGCGCCCGGGAAGCGACGCGCAAGCGAACGTCGGAGACGCAAGGACTCTGCACCGCGGCTGCCGGACGTCCCGAGAGCGCGGCGGGCGCCGGGCGGGGCACAGGAGCCTCCCCGCAGCCGTGAGGGTCCCGGGGTGGGAGCCACCCCGCCGCCAGCTGCAGCTCTGCACTTACCCGGGCTCGGGCGACGAGGACGGGCGGTGGCGGCCCCAGCGGCGGCGACTGAGGGAGATGCGGCTCGGACCTCGAGCCCCCGCCCCGCCCTTGAGCTCCGGGCCCGCGCCGCTCATTGGCTGCCGCACCACGGGACCGCGTCCGCCTCGGCCAATCAGCGCCGAGCAGCGCCGTTTGGAAACTTTTTTCCCAGGGCCTGGGCGCGGCGCGGCCACGCGGCGGCCCTGGAGCTGGTGGGAGCCGGGGAGATTCTGGCTGGCGGCGGGGATCTGAAGGATGCTGGCTGCTCCCCGCACACCCGGGGAACGGGCTTGGAATTGCGGGCCAACGCACTTCAAGTGAATACGCTTCCCTCCCCTTGACACAGATTGCGTTCTCCTGTTCTTGCATTTCCTCCACATCAGAGGAAAGGGCAAAGATCCAGATCCGCTTAGGCTAAGCAATACCCCATGTTCTTCCCACCCCTGTACACCCAAAATAAAAATTTAAACATTAATAACTTCTTCAAAGGCAGCAAAATTTAGTGTGTAAGAGTTTGATTTTGAGCCTGGCTTTGAATCCTAGCTCTTCCCCTTATGATCTGTGTGATCTTGGGCAAGTCATTCTGTGACTTAGTTTCCTCATCTATGAAATCTGTTCGTGATAGGGTTCTAACTTATAGGATTATGCAGTAACAAAATGTGTTGACTTGGCATTTGTAAAACAGTGCCTAACACACAGTTAAATAAAATCTATTTGTTAAATGGTCTTGATCTTTTAATTGGTTAGGTGTGTCAGACACAATGCGAACTTCTTGACCTGGGTTTCCTTTTAATTCTCACAGCAATATTAATTGTTCACCAACAATTATTTATTGAGCACTCTCGCTTAGAACAAAATAAATGTCAAGTAAGATGCCTGTCCTCAAAGACCTCATAGTACTAAGAAATAACACAGAAAACCAGCAAACAGAAAAAGTAAAATAATTACAGACTTCAATAAGTGCTATGTATAAAGCAAGGTCATATGATAGAAAGGGGCTGGGGAAGAGTCACTTCAGATAAAATGGTCAGGGAAGGCCTGTCCAGGAGATGACAAAGGAGCTGAGACCAGGATGATGAGAACCACAGAAAGCACTTTTCTTGTCGTCATTTTATAGATGAGAAAACTAAGGTGCAGGAAGTTAAATGTGTTGCCCAAGGTCTCACAATTAGTAAATAATAAATCAGGCTTTATAGCTGGATCTGTTGGACTCCTACACTTGTGTTCTTCAGTACACTAGAGGCAAAGAGATCTTAGCTACT